CGACGATTATGTCTATTTCGGAGATTGTACAGTAAAGGGGTACAATGCTAGAAGTGGACAAGATTTTCCGTACAATGCTAGGATTGTCCAATTTCGGACATTGCTCGTAACATATATACAAGCAAAAATAGCAACATAATTTGATATAATTTTTACAAAAATTAAACATATACTGGTTTATTTAATAATTTAAATATTAATAAAATAAGCCTAAGCATGAATTTACCATTCAAAATCATCGACATGTACTGTAGTCTGTTTGAAGTATAGATTTATTTATATACCTAAAAAAGTAAATCGTGATTTAATAGTCAAATAAATAATATCCTAAGTTTTAGAATCATCCTCATTCATATAGTTCTATAGTCTCTGTTCTTCTGGCTAAATGGCTGAAGTAATATAGGTAATTTCTAATAACCTGCCTTTTATATGAAGCTCTTCGAAGATTGACAGGTTGGTTCGGTGTTCTGTTCAGGAAACGCATAGAACATAGGCGTATATATTAATATAGATTGACCATGCCAGCATCGAGCAGTGACAACATCTTTTGCGGTTGTTCGATCTGTCTCTCTCTTGCGCATTGACACTCTCCACTCGCTCTCTGACGACAAAAAAGAGATGCTGCTATACTTACTTAAGTATAGCAGCGTCTCTTAGACACAACTAATAATGAAAACAAAGATGGTGTCGTCACTTAGCCCTACAGACTTTATAGTCTATGGCGTAGAATTCTTCTGTAGACCCACATTTCGAAGGCATAAAGATTTTTTTGAGAGTCTATCTTTCAACTGCGTAAGTAGCAATAGAAAAAATAAGGGTATTACACTATCGCTTCAAAGATAATTTTTAAATGAAACACCACATATTTTATTCTAAATTAAAAATTTTAAGTACTTCTCGATCACAACAATATAAAGTTGAAACTTATAATACTGGGTATATAAAAAGTTACACCCAGGTTTTAATGGAAATCGTAACAAGTTCAACTTTTCTTCTTATAGTGCAGACTCCAATAATGAAGGTTCGCTATAACCATTTCAAATTCGTTTCTATTTTCTGCTTTTCTCCACAAGTATGTATCCCAAATATGATCAAAAGTTTTCTGTCACTTCCCATTCTATGCAACACCATTTCGTTCGTAATATGATCGGTCCAAGGTATATTGAGACTTTGGTTACTTAGAAATTTCCTCATCTTTAAAAGGCTGCTCTTGATTGCTCTTTTCTTGATCGAATTTCTGATTTTGGATTTAGATCTTCAGTAATCCAGACTTCTAAGTACCTACTTCATTTTGTCCACATGTTTAATATATTCATTTTTTATCTGGATCCTTGTTATAACTTTCCCCTCCTTACCAATAACCATGGTCTTTGTTTTCTTTATGTTTATTATGTGAGAATTAATTTAAATACATCTTTTTCACAATTTTACTTCTTGAAATGGTAATACGTTTAGGGTCAAAATATTGACAAGTTCTAACAATCAGATTCCAAGATGATTAATGGCAGATATCAAGCTACGACGAGTTACTTTTTTATTCTGAAGCTTTATAATGGTTTTGTATTACTTTTTCTTTATAGTAAACTGCTGAAGCGAGCGTTACGGAAGTAGCCCCACGACACGGCGTCACTGAATTCCGTATTTCGTGACACTACTTCTACTACACAAACGCCTTTTTAAGGCGCTGTAACCAGTTGGAAGAGTCCATTAACGCGACGAGGAGGTCCATTATACAATAAATATAAACTTTTTAAATTTTATTAAAATCATCTATAAAATCACCACGAGTTTATTGTAATTAGCATTAATGATAATTAAAATAATACAATTACTCTATTCAAGTGTTGAAAATAGTCTTTAAAATTTAAAAATACAGAAACATCCACCTAGTGTAGGTACCACTTTTTTAAAATTATTGTATTCTTGATAAGGTAAGTAAATGGATGCATATTAGTCCCAAAAGGCTTAATAAGATTGTTCCATTCAATTAAATTCAACACGAAAATGCTTAAAAATGATTAAATACTCAGAAGATTAAAGTAAAACCTGGAAATTTGGCAGGCTTGTTTGTGTTACCAAGTAGTTAGATAGTATATATTATGAAACGAATTAGGGGATAATAAAACGTTCAGTACGCAAGATAATCGTCAAGAAATAGAACAAATCTATTCCAAAATAGAACAAATCTATTCCAAAATAACTGAAAATAAGCTGGGTCGACAGAGTTAGAAATGAGGAGGTCCTTAGACGGCTGAACCAAACAACACAACTGGTCAATATAATAAAGAAACGCAAGCTGGAATACTTCGGTCATATTATGAGACACCCTGAAAAATATGATCTTTTACATCTGATCATTCAGGGAAAGATCCAAGGTAATCGTGGTCCTGGTAGAAGAAGAACATCATGGCTGAAAAATCTAAGGCAATGGTATGGAAAATCAACTACATCGTTATTTAGAGCTGCTGTCAATAAAGTCACGATAGCGAATATGGTAGCCAACATGATATCCAACGATCGATAACGGTCATGGAACTAGAAGAAGACGATTCCAACATAGTTGAGCGAGGTATCATTCCTATAATATATAAATTCATATTATATTATTTTGTGTAGGGTGGCACGTAATACAACTAAAATTTTTATAGGTATTTAAAAATGTAAGAATTTGTGCGAAAGAAAATTTATTTTGAGAAAGGCAATCAGCCGAAACACTGTAGTGATAAGAGTTTATAATAAATTTTGTGGAAGTTTTGAAAACAAAGTTTTCAGTGTTTTATTCTTACATAAAATGAATTTCCATCAAGTAACGGTCGAATCCATCAAAAATTTATTTTATTTACGTACAAAACAAAAGCTATATAAAAACTAAACTATATCCATTGCAGTTTCATTAATTTCAGCTAACGCTCTCCCAACATGAAAAATTGACTGTTTAGCATCCGCCTCAAAGTTCAATGCTATTGGTGGTAGCCATTGAGTTTTTAATGACGAAAGTAAAAGGTTTGAAACGGAGAGGAAGTTGTGTATTACATCCTTGTTGATAGAAATGCGCTAACATTTTTGCAGCCAGGATTTTCTGAACTCCTCGTTCTGCGCTTTGTGTGCAGATTTACAAAATTTATTTTTTCAAAATATAAACACAAACAAATAAAGCAAACACAAAGTTAAAAGTTAGGTTAATTTAGATTAACTGGGTTAACAAAATGACAGAACCGTAAATATCATTTTATGTAATTTTTTGCTGTGGCTTTATTATTTTACGCATAGCAACACAGGACATATTCTGTTTTGAGAACTGTAATTTGATGTACGTTTTCTAAATTATATACTTGTATGTATTTATTTAAGTAAACGATACATCATAGCCCACAATATCAGTTTCCCTTTCATGATCTTTCTTCAGCCCATTGATGACTAATTAATATTTATTACAAAGAGTACGTAAGAGGTCCTTTTTTTGTAGTGTTTTGAAAAAAAAAACCTTAATACAACCACCCCCAATAATATAGACTATTTGCTTAATTTTTTTTTCAAATTCCCGCACTAATTGTTCTTCGCCGTCTAAATGCTACCGTTAGCTTTGCAATGGACAAAGGGATCTAAAATTTCAGTTCTGATAAACTAAAAGGTAGACCTATGCAAATTTATAAATCATCAATTGAGTATAGGAAAAAAACATTTTTAAGCGTTTTTTGGGGATTTCGACCCACTGAGCGGCGAGTCCAAATTGTGGGTAAATATACATATCGGTATATGAGACAAGTATGAATAATGTATAACCAAATAAGCATAGGCAGATCAACTGAGAGCACAACATAGAGGCTACATTAAACAACCAGACAACTGCACCGCAGTTCATTCATCATATGATGAGAATTCTGTTGTGACTGCTATGCTCTAACATATAAATGTAAAGTAAGAGCCTTGGGTATACTATGATCAAAATAGTAGGTTCATCAGGGGTTGGTGAAGAGCTTACATGTATACTTTTGAGTCCCTAGGGTTTGTACAATAGTTAGGGAAAGATGAACAACAAGCTAATTGGCTGTTGTACAAGAGGGGTAGAACTGAATGTTTTCAGAGAAAAAAAATTCAGAGTTATTACCAAGATGTGTGGTGTAAGTTTAGGAGATTTAAATAATATTTTGAAGCAAAAATGACACTGGGATGATCGAGGTGAACAAAAAGTGAACGTGAATGGAAGAGAAAGGCGACCGTAATGGATGACATTTTTAATAACGAAAAATAAATTAAACCATAAGAAAATAGACTCATGACTTCGTTGTATGAAAACGACTTATAGAAGGTGAAAGAAAAACAAATAAGACCGCGAAAAAGCAGCATTTACTGCATCCCTGATAAAGAAACGATGCAATTGGACAAAAAAATCTATGAACTGGACTATTGAACATTGGAAAAAAGCGATATTTTCAGTTGAGATCTCTTTTTTTTTGTACAAGGATAGCTAACTTGTTTTGTGCTGATACAAGTGAGTTACAACATCCATTAAATTTTCATATAAGGCCGCCGGTTTAGTTATGTCGATTAAAGGTATGATAAACACATAAAAATAAACCTCATTACGAAAACAGATTGCACACTGAACTAAGAACAGTTAATCCAAAAGGTCTAGCAAATTTTCAACAAGATTTAGTTTTATGGCATGTGTCCAAAGTCATAATTAAATATTTAAAGGACAAAACGTCTCAAGTCTTGAATAGCTAAGAAACTGATCAGATCTTAATCATATTAGACGTCATAAAGAAACTAAAACAAAACTGATCTGAGGCTGGTTTCAACAACAAATGTCAGAAAGTTATAAAAACTTAAAGGAAGGTAGATATCAGTATGAACTACCATTTTAACAAAAATTTCCAATTAAAGAATGAAGAGAGCAGCGAAGTATGAAAATATAAGAAGAGATTACAATTAAGTCCATATTCGTTTTCGCATTGAATTATTTTAAATAATGGGAGTTTTAAATTAAACACTGAGTTCGGTTAGATTAACAAATTTATTAAATAAATAGATTCACAGTCATACATTCCATTATTTTTTTGCCTCGATATAATTTTAACGGCTCGTCAATTAACAAAAAATAATTAAATTTAAATCATATTTCAACCGATATGTACAAAAACATTTAAGAAGGAAAATATCTAACCTTTAAAAAATAAAAGGAGCCGTATTTAATTTTTTGGAGTGGTACGAATTAATTTTATGATATAAGGCTGGTACCAATGCGTCGCATGTAGGGAACTGAAAAAAGCTGTAATACCCTCCATATATCTAGATATGGCAAGTACATCCTCTTATCAGAACTAGGAGTGCCCAATAGCTACGACCACTTGAGAGTGAATGGGATAAAAACAATGCCCTTTATAGAGTTGTTGATTACGCTGTTAATCAACAAAAAATACTTTTTAAATAAAAACATGATAAATGATTTTTGCTCAAGCTAAATGCCCATTAAAAAGAAAATTTTATTTGAGGCGGAACTTTTGTTGTACGGAAACAAGATTATTGTTAATAATTCAAAATGTGTAAGTAAATATTAGGACGGTTGTAGAAGGAGTTGACATATTTTAAGTGAAAGACTGCATGAAGCTTTGGACTTTTATTAGGCAAGGCCACTTGCGATGCTACTAAGTTGGTCCATCAGTGACTCACCATGTTTTAGAGCAATTAAACAAATAAAATCTAAGATTGTGAGTGCTCAGGTTCTATGGGTTTTCAAGTAGGTAACTATTAAGAAAATAACAACACCGATGAAGCTGTCTTGCAAAGGATACGTCAACAACAACTACTACTTTTAACGGCAAAACCATCATACGTCGGTCACACAATGCGAAACGAAAAACACCATTCCTTTAATTTATTTTGCAGCTCAAAGTGAAAGGAAAAGAAGGACCATATAGACGACGAATTTCGTCGGTTAAGAACTTGAAACAGTGGACCGGAAAAACTTTATTACAATTCTTTAGGGATACTGTGAATAAGGTTTTGTGAACTAGAGTGATTACCCATGTTCAATGAGGATAAGCACTCCAAGAAGAAGTATACGATAGCTGGTAATAGCAAGTACTGAATTTTTGCCAAGCTGGTGGTTGTTGGGCATTATTTCAGATATTGACACCAAAGAACAGTGACGATATAAATGTTGGATCATCAGTTAAAGTATATAAAAATAAAGGAAAATACACTGAAAAAATGCAAAATGCATTCTTATCTGAAGAGGTCAGAATTAAAAGAGATGGTTCGTCAGATTTGCATAGTATCTCCGCTGATCAACACTTACAGCAACAAAATAATAGATAAGTCACTCGATAACTGCGAAGAAGGTCTGACCATAAATGGTATAAAAATAAACAACTTAAGGTAGAGTTGAAATTGAAGACACTCTTACAAGACTTGCTTGATCGAGTTGAATCCAAAAATTCTGATTTCGGGCTTAACCTGAAAGTACGAAAAACAAAGTGGTAGGTGGTCTGAAAAACAAAAAAATCAGGGGCATATATTACAGGCTGATTTATTTTTGTGAGGAAGCCACGACTTAAAATCTTCGGTGGTCTAGTCTAATACTGAGATAAGTACTAAATATGCTACACTCATTAGTGTTGGAATAATATTAATGTTAAGCATTGAAAAGATATAATGAAAGACAATGGTAAACTTATCGAGGATGTAGTTCTTATATTGTTAGAAAGGAAGCCAAGAAACTCACAGTGACGAACAGCGGTACTGGCATTAAATCAAACTTAAAAAATGTGACAAAAGCTAATTAGTAGAATAAAAAAAGGAATACTGAGAAAGGTGTTAAGATATAGTGGGTTTAAAGAACACTTATTATACTTGGTCAATTTCACAAAAGGGGAGAAATACAAGAGGAGAAAGACACAAGTGGTTGGTTTTTTTAGTTTTAACTGTCCAGAAGGATTAACTATATTTTTCCTATGTATATTTTTTCACTATATATGTCTTCACTTAAAATAATTATAGTAATTATTAATAACTATTGTAATTATTAATAAGTATTGTAATTATACAGATAATGAAGAAAATAATTTTTAAATTAAAATAAAATATACTAGGGTTGTTTAGTAAGAACTTATAAAATCAAACAGATGGCGCTCGTAGGATGGAAAATGATTTATTTTTCGTTCAACACCAATTAAGATCAATCAATTTCTGAATTGGATAAAGTACGTAGTAAATCTGTTGCTGCGTTTTTAACTGATTAAAATTAGATAAATTTAGACGTGATCGTAAGTCCACAATGGATAAACATAATTCTGGATGTCCAGTAGAAGTGACCACCCCCAAAAAGATTTATAAAATACACGATATGACTTTGAGTGCAAAGTATAGTCATTTTAATTTTGCACGAAAAATTGGGACTAAAAAAAACAAGATTGATACCGTCTGCTCTCAGTAAATAATAAGTGCAGTCGTATGGTCGACCCTGAGGCTGTTTTGGCGTTATTCCATTGTAATGCTAATGATTTTATGCATGTGGACGCTACACAGATACAATACTACACTCCCTTGACAATCAATACAGTGAATTCTTGCAGGCGATGTGAGTGAAATCGTCCGGCATAGTGATGGGCTACGGTATTTTACGATGCACGCGAAATCACTTGTATTGGTTACTTGGAAAACGGTTAATAATAACTGGAGTTCATTAAGTGTCGCCATTACAAAGTTGGTGCGAACAACTTAAGAAAACGGCCCTATTTAGTAAAAACAATTATCTTCTTTATTGCCAAAGTTAAAAAATAGCTTGCCGATAGCGATTCTTATTTTGCAGGTCTACCGAATTCTTAAAAGGGTAAACAAACCTTTTTTTTTTTTCAAATTTACATCTTTTAATATGGTATAGTAATCCATATTCCAAAGAAATCAGTTTCTAACTCCAGTATTATGCTGTTCGAACAGTAATTCATTTTCTTCATCAGAATGGACAACCCGCTTGACAAACACGGCTTTAAATGCCATTTACCCCTCATAAACAAGTGAAGCCAGGCTCCAAGCGGAGCTATTTAAACTGTTAAAACATGTGGACCGACATCAACCACAACCCTAAACTTAATATTGAAAGAAGTGTCAGTAAAGGCGGCTTCATATTACCAAGACCATTCACGGCCATTATTGACTTTTTGAAATACTCGACGGGGATAACGTATGAAAAAACATTAATTATGAAAGTAACTTAATCATTTACTTTTTGATGCCGCAACGTTGTACTGGAAAATTTAAACATTGATGCTTTAAATCACAGAAACCCAAATACGGGATATCACCAAACGAATCGCCATGCTACAGAGGAACTTGACTGATCATGAGAAAAAGATGAGTAATGACAGGTGGATGAAGAATAAATTGAAATGGCTACCTACAACTGACTAAAAAGACCTACATATTATGGTCAACTGGTTTGTAATACTATTACTATGCAGTTCAAGAGAGCACAAGTAAATAGTATTTTATATAAACTAACACAAAGAGTTACTTTGTTTGCGTTGTTTGCTACGAAATGACCAAACTTGATGATGTCATTAATTGAATTAAAAATTAAGAAGTTAAGATTCTTCTTCTTCAGTGCCTTATCGGAGGTTTTTTAATCACGAGATACGACGGCGTCCCGGTCCTCTCCCGCCAAATACTTTACCCTGCATAACGAGTTGAAGCTCAAGCTTACGCTGTTTCAAAGTTAAGATTAGTATAAGTTAAATATAAATAAGAGTCAAGTTAATTATTAGTAAAGGCAAAATTTCAATACTAAAACGGAGTTAAGTTGAAGGCAATTGAAAAAGATTTTATTTCAATATGTATTAAAAAAAATACGTAATAACCTTAAATAGAAGCAGACTAGCAACGAGTAGGATTAATAATCATTAACAGAAATCATAACAAAAGCATATTTTGCTAAGTATACCGATAAAAGAGAAATACAAGACGACAAAGTACGAGTTCTGTCCTATAAGTAATAGTATTATATACGCGACAAAATGTTTCAGCGCCCTCTCTGGGGTACTAGTCTAATCATTAACTCTCCACGAATTTATCGTATACCGCAGATACAAAGGGGAAGCGTCTACTTCGGGATACCTTGCTGTTGTCATGCATTGTCTTTTTTTAATTCGTCGCATTTTGTAGTCGCTAAAAATGATACGAGAGATGCGAGTAATAAATTTACATTCAGTTTTGCTTTAAAAATGAAAATAGTTCTGTGCTAACTATGCAAAAGTCCTTTGGTATTATATTCGTCAGCCAAAAATACGTAAAAGAATGGTTGAATTGATCCATGTTTTTCCAAATGATCCAAAAAAACTTTTTCATGTCGAAAACGTATATATCAAGAATTCTATTCTAAATGGAACTGACTCGAGCGTGTACTAAATTAATTCCAAAGTTAATCAGGGCAGGGCAGAAAATATTCGCTTAGCGGTCTCTCTAAACAACTTGAAAATGATAGCTAATGATGAAAATATATGTAGATACACGGTTATGATCCCAAAACAAAGCAACAGTCTTCACAATGGAAGTTCCCATATTGATTGTTTCTTTTTTCTTCCAACTGCACATTAAATCCATTAGTGAAAATAAAAGGCTACATGTTAGGCGATCTTCGGCTGGTTCCTTCATTACGGTAATGGGCCAGCACATTCAACGAACATTGTCACACAAGGTGAACCACCTTTTTGGCAAGGAACACAAAATAACACAACTCCGCAAGTCTCCGTACAGTCGCCATCATAGAGACGATTCAAACGAATGCGAAGGTGTCACTGGAGCCCATTACAAAAACTTAATTTCAGAACTGCTTCAGTGATTTAAAGCACCGACGGAACCGGTGTAGTTGGATCGTACAGGGATTATTTCAATGGATGCCACGAGCTGAATGACGAAGAGTTTAGAATGAACGAAGGTCAAATACTTTTGGGACAGGCCTCGAATCTGGTTATGTGATTACCATAAATATTTTGTAAGACATTTTGGTTAAAAGCAACTTAGACAATAAGCACGTCACAAAACTACCATTAAAGCAATGTTAAACTACATTATATAGCATAAAAACAATAAACCAGTATATGTTCGAAGTATTCCAATATTTCTCAAATTATCACATTTTGTAACAAATATCCGAAAGCAAGATTTTTTTAAGTAAAATTACCAGCCGTATATTATATACATAAAACGTATCAACCCCAAAAATATAGACTCATTTCACAGTCATTGAAATAATTAAGCTCATTCCGAAATATATTCAATAAATTCAAGAAATTGACCACTATATATTTGTCTCTGGTCCGTATCTGAAAGAACTGAAACACTTAACAAACGATAATCACAAAAAAGTGCTCAAACTAAATAAGTGTTTCTACTAATCAATGTTTACTTTTAGCGCGTGATTTTTGTAATCTATTAGTTACTTTGTTATTCGTACCATTTTTTTCTACTGATGCGCTACTAGAAACATATGACCTCACAGGACCTCCAGGGTATGGTATCTTAAACAGTTCTAGATGAAGAGAGTCGCAAATTTCGTGGCAGATTTGTGCGCAGTATCTCATGAGATCGATTGCTACCCATATCTGAAAATAAATGTGAATTAATAAAACAATTTCAATAACTACTAGGTAATACAAGTAATAATTTACATTTAAAATTGTTTTGATATTTTCTTGACAGTATTTTTTATTCTTTAATTATTGACGAGGTGACTCAGGAGATTCTAATACTGATGGAGGAATAGGAAACATAAACACAAGAACGATGTACAACTACTGTCATCGCCTGCTAACTTGGCGGTGCGCACAAACCTAAAATTGCTTAGTGGCTTAGGTGGTGGTCTTTAGTCTCCCTCCCAGTTATCAGGTGCGTAACACTTAAGTGATTTGCGGCTATTATTTTTCAGACTTCTTAATATTTCTGATATTTAAGTGTATTTGTGACAATTTCTAACGATGGCGTTGAAAAATAGTAGAAAGAATAATTCTGTTATTAGTGGACAATCTCGGGAGATTATATTTAATGTGTTTAATTATTTCAAAAATATTAAACACGAAACAGAGACCCTAAAAACTGTGAAAGAAAAGACAGCTAAAGCAACACTTAAGTTTGTACTTACAATAAATTAATTTTAATTAGACGACTTCTAAATAATAACAAAACCGCACTACGGTGGTCTATTTGGACCAAAAATAACTCTATATTTTTATTTCATTTTAATTATCTATTATTTTTAAAACACAATAGTTTTATTTCTATTTATAAGGCATTTTCTTCCCACTGGTGGAAATATTTTGTTTGTTTATGTCTACCTTGTATTAAATAAAAATAGATCAAAAATAGGTGAATATTTGACATACTTAATAATGTTGACAGCTTACCACACTTACAAAAAATTTAAATTATTCGTTATTTTACAAAAAATGATCCAGAGTTCAGCAAAATTCTATTACACATTAAATACAAAAAAATTAATCACGTAGATAGTTTCTTAGGTTTTTTGCTGGATACACACCTCACAGTAAGCTACAATATGATACATGTATATTTGCAAAATTTCGGGTTTCCTTTTTCGTACAGTATTTTCAATGCCCTCTTTTACCTATGAAAAACAAAACCTATGGCAAAAAAACAAACCTATGATTTGTTGACAGACCTATGTATGTATGCCACACCTATGGCTTGTTTTTAAACCAGGAGGAGTAATTCAAATTTACCTTTTATTTTTTTTACCTTTAATAATTTTATAATGCTATAATATTTATGGATTACCGTCGAAGGCCGTCATGATCAACCCAAAAAGAAGATATAATATATTTGCTGATTTTTCTAGCGACTTTCTTGGCTGTGAAACTTTTTAGTTTACTCCTCCTGGTTTAAAAACAATACATAGTGGAGGATTAGGTTGATTTTGTGTCGGCATTCCAGATTATTGCATAACAGTTTGTCGAATATGCGAAAGCAAATATTTAAGCAAAATTTTAAGCAAATAATTGTTTGCCTACGTTTGGAAGAGTATGTCATAATCCCACAAGTATTTCCCTCACTATAGTCGAAGTTTTTATTTCACGTAGATTTTACTAAAAGACATTCGAGGCATTATAATATTTACTTATTTAGTGTATTTATTTTTCAAGTCCAGGCAAAAAACGAGTCAGTAGATCAATCATAGATTTGCCGGAATACCAAATAAGCGACATTCGCAGAATAATTTACGATTTTTATAAAACAGAAAAATGTCGGGTTACGGTAAAAAAATTAAAACAAAAAATTCACAACGATTTGGATATCACAATTTCACAAACATCTTTAAGGCGACTTCTACGCAAATGCAATTTCGTTGGAGGAAAACCGAAAACAACCGAAAAGTGCTTGTAGAAAAAAGTGCAATAAGAGCTTTGAGAATAAAATATCTCAGGCAAATCAAATATTTTCGGAGTCAAAATAGGCCAATCGTGTATGTTGACGAGACCTACTTACACAGCGGTCATACTTCTTGAAAGAACTGGACTGACGAATCATAAACCAAGGGGATATTTTCAAATATTTCCAAAGGTCAACGACTAATAATAGTGCATGCCGGTGGGGATATGGGATTCATACAAAATGGCTTATAAATCTTTAAATCAGGTTCAAAATCAGGGGATTAGGTACCACTCTGAAATGAATTCAGACAACTATGGAAAGTGGTTACAAGAACATTTATTACCTAATTTACCTGCTAACTCGGTATTAGTTTTTGATAACGCACCTTATCACAGCATTCAGTTAGAGTGGGCGCCTACATCAAACTCAAACAAAAATCAAATGATACAATGGTTAATGCAGAAAAATATTTCATTTACACCTAGTGCTTTAAAACCTGAACTGTATGAAATAATTAAATATCATAAACCTCATCATGTAAAATACAAATTCGACGAAATTCTACGTGCGCATGGCCATATTCCTTTACGTTTACCTCCTTACCATCCTGACCTAAATCCTATTGAACTAATAATGGGCTACAGTCAAAAATAATATAAGGCAGAAAAACGTTACATTTAAGCTAGCTGACGTACAAAAACTCGCCGAGGAAGAATTCACTAATATTGATGCAAATGAGTGGAGAAAACGATGTTACCATGTCATTAAGAAGGAAGATGAGTATATGGACAGCGAGATAGTTGCTAATAACGCCACGCAAATAGCTCCAATTATTATAAGTCTTGACAATGACTCTTCCAGTACAGAGTTTTCTTCTTCCGAAGATGAAGATGAAGAAAATTATTAACAATCAATTTATTTTCAAATAGATACCACTTTTCAACACGGGTACTTGTTTTAGTGTTATAATAAAACCAAAATATTAAAATTAAATAATTACTGTGTTGCATTTATTTATACAGTATCCTCCATTTAATTTGAAACACAATATCAACGTAGATTTGTGAATTAAATTCAGTCATTATTGTATAATTTGTTTACTAAGTTACTAAACTACTAATAAATATTATAAACCAATGGCTTACTATTTAAATTGAATAAAACAAAATTACAATTTCATCTTTCTAATAATATATTAAAGCTTGCGAAAAATATTACTTTTGTAATTGTGTAATAATTATTTGACCTATACCGCTACGCTACTGAATATACTTATCAGAAATAGTAAACCAATAGGATGAATCATAGGGCGTAAACATAATTTATTTCTCTGTGACGTTGTGCGTACTTTCTCGCCAAGTTAGCTGGCGATGATTGTACAAGAAAATTAACAATGACAGAAACAAAATTAAGGAATCAGAAGGAAAGGATGTAACTGTTGTCAATGTCTAATTATAATTTAAACATCAATAGTCAATCTTTTGATGAAAGATTGACTACTTTTACGCGTGAAAACTTTTAAATACCTTGGCACCACAATCAATGACCAATCGGATCCACAACACGAGATAAAAACCCGAATACAAATGGCAAGACAAGCTTTCGTGAAATTCAGACCGCTCCTATGTAATCAAAACCTAAATTTCGAAATACGCTACAGAATGGTCAAGTGCTACATATGGTCCATCTTGCTTTATGGCATGAAAACGTGGACTTTGAAAAAAACATCTATCAACAAACTTAAAGCATTTGAAATGTGGTCATTGAGAAGAATGATGCGCATACCTTGCGTGGATAGAGTTCGAAACAATGACGTCCTTAAGAGAGCCGGCCTGGAAAGAGAACTCTTTGAATTAATTAAAAAACGCAAGATTGGTTACCTTGGGCACATATTGAGAGGAGCAAAATATGAAATACCACAGTTAATCCTACAAGGGAAAAGCGAAGGTAGGAGGGGAGCCGGCCGCAAACAATTATCCTGGTTAAGGAATATTAAAGAATGGACAGGAATACACAATACAGGCGAGCTGTGTCACGTCGCCTAAAACAGAATTCTAGTAATGAGATGGTCGCCTACGTACTTTGGTGTATGGCATAATAAGAAGAAGTCAATCTTTTATAGCGGGTAGGAACTCCTTTGGACAGTCCTACCAGGGAAAGTAGTTTGGTAGGACTGTCCAAATCAATCAATCCAGACTGTATCAATCCCTGCCCTCCGCAGATTCCAGTAGTTTCCTGACCCGGGAAACTAGTATCTGCTTAGGGTCCCTTGTTCAGGATCACGGATGAAGACCACAACGGTATCCAAGGGGGAGAAGAACATCTTCGGTACGTTGTGTATGGCGGAATTGGCGACCCCCGATTTTGATCATGCTTCAAGATCCGTACATTATCATGCATAAAGACAAAATTATCCCATAAAAATGAACTAAATGGAACTACTGCTTCTGCCAAAAGATCCTCTATATACCGGTGGCCATTTAGGCGGCCATTGATGAAAATAAGTTCGGTTCGAGCTTCAAATGAGATACCAGCCCAAACCATGACACCACCACCGCCAAACTTTCTTCTCTGGGACATACAAGCGTGTGCATATCTTTCATTTCTACGTCTCCAGACCCTCTCTTCTCATCGCCAGACTTCAAACAGAACCACGATTGATCAGTAAAGAGAATTGGAGTTGTTGTCAAGTAAAAATTAATTGATTTCTACAGTTCCTACAGTGTCTGGGTTGTAATTCGGGAACAACAGCCGACCTTCTTACCATTAGTCTTCTTTCATTGAGGTGTCTTTAACCGTTTTCTCATTTACGTTCACATTTCGAACCTTCTGCAGGCGGTTTCTTGCAGTAATTGCAGTATAATGGCGATAAAAGTTTCGTCACAATAAAACGATCATCTCTTTGCGAGGTAACTCTTCTATGACCGAAACCAGGTCGAAATGAGTATGTACCAGTCTTTATAAAGCGATGGAAAGCTCTCCGTACTGTAGTTCTTGGAATACCTAAAGCTTCGGATACATAAAATTCACTTTTTCCACTTACACAGTGGCCACTTTTTTGCCGTTTAGTGTAGATAAGAACAGTGTCAGTGGATAAATTTACTTACCAGACATAACCACAGCACATAATATTCATTGATAAACGTATTGAAGTACTGATTTAAAAACAGCATTGCCGGTCCCATAAGAGACCAATCCATGTAGTCCATTTCGCTTTTAGTCATATGAGCTACCTAAAATAAAATTAAATTAGAAAAGATTATGCAATGCGTTCAAGAAACTTTATTTCCATAATTACAAGTAAGGGTCGATATTAGATTTAGGGTAATATTCTTAAAAGTCCTACCGGAACAAATAGGCTAACAGATTTTAATAAAATTGTGGAAGTGAGATCAATACTAGCCAAACGGGGAAGCAGTATGTGAGTGTTTGTATACAACAATTCACAAACATAGGCAAAATCAACATTATCTCCATACGGGTCACAAAATTGATTTTGAAAATTCGTATAACCGTAACTCTCAACGTTTCTATAAACCAAAAATTATCCGACAAGTCATACAGATCTAAATAGACCCGAATCGTCTCAATAATACGATGACTACACCCGGTTGTATTGGATATAGAGATCCTCTTAGACAAAAATCGTCCGCTCCATCTACTAATCCAATTCTAGCCGTCAAGTATCTTCGCACCAACTCCCACCTAACGCCACCATCGACTGTATAAATGGACATCCCTCATCCAAAGCAACAGTCATGCAGCAACTAGTGAAGAGTCTTCTTACGGTGCCTTATCCTTAAGGACGTTGGCCATTACATTTGTCCATTTAATCTTATTCGTAGCAGCCCTAAATAGTTCTATGGAGGTCATGTTCGTCCATTGCCGTAGGTTTTTAAGCCAAGAGTTGCGTCGTCTTCCTGGTCTTCTTTTGCTATTGACTTTGCCTTCGATTATAAGTTGGAGCAGTTCATACTTTTGATTTCTTATGATGTGACCAAATTATTGTGTTTTCCGTTCTTTTATTATAAGCATAAGCTCTCTTCCCTATTCATCCTCCGCAAGACTTCCGCATTTGTCGTATGGCTCATGTAGGATATTCTGAGCATTTTACGGTAACACCAGAGTTCGAATGCTTGGATTCTTTTTTGTGTTGCTTCTGTCATTGTCCAGGTTTCAACACCATAGAGCAAGGTGGAGAAAACATAGCACTTAAGTATTCTAGTTCTCAATGAGATGCCCAGCTGGCGGTTGCATAGAACTTTTTGCATTTTGTAAAACATTGTACGTACCTTTTCCAGGAGTATTCTTATCTCTAGTGAATGGTCCCAAGTTTCATCAAGATTACTTCCAAGGTATGTTGTTCTTGTTACTCTTTTCAGATCTGTTCCGTCGACATTGAACTTCACCCTTCTGTTTTGGAATTTCATTCCAAATTCTCTACAGGCTGTAGTTACTCGGTACATTAAGCGTTGCAGGGCTTCAGCATTATCTGCCAGTATGACAGTGTCATCAGCATATCGCAGGTTATTTATACATTGCCCGTTTATAATTATACCATCCGAGGTGCCTTCCAAAGCTTTCTGAAATATCTTCTCAGGGTAAACATTGGACAGCAAAGGTGATAGGACACATCGCTGTCTTACTCCCTTCTCGATATTGATTTTCCAGATGTTTCGCTTTTTATTTTGATTTTAGCCTTTTGTTCTTGGTAGAGAAGTGAAGAATGTAGTAAAATAATTTGGGGCTCACGAGAGAGACCCTTGAAGTCTTCGCTTCGTTCGAAGAAATTTAGCCATCTTTAATATTAATGCACTCACAAAAAATTACAAAATCGTTATAAAGTACATCCCAGAGGTACTTTTCAGTGCGTCATTAATTATGACGTCATATAATGAATTAGGTGTGTCGAGCATTATTTCATATAATTATTGAAGAATCTGACAGGTTTCAGGATCGTACTTAGCCACAGGGGGTAATCCCGTATATTAATAAAATTAAAAAATATTGTTTATTAAATTTATAAATATGGAAACATTCGAAATTGACGACAAAATGATTTATTTATTGAATTTTTGTATCTTCTTCTCAAGGGGCTGTCTGCGCTTCAAAAGTTGGCAATCATCACAGCGATTTTTAATTTTGAGACAGCGGCTCTAAATAAGTCGTTATTACATGGGTTACGTCTCCTTCCTATGGATCTTTTTCTCCGGATTTTTCCTTGCATAATGACCTGAAGTATTAGATATTTATCTCCTTTCATTATATGACCCATATATCCCACTTTTACTCTTTCCTTATGCATACGTCATATTACCTCAACGTTGGTTATTCCATCTACCCATGAGATCTCTAGTACTCTTCGGTACATCCACATCTCCAATGCCTTCAGTCTCCTCACGTGAATTTTCTTCAGTGTCCACGCTTCCATCCCGTAATATAATACGGATAGCACGTAGCACCTCAGCAGTCGTATTTTTAACTTTTACTTCTATTTCTTCTGATGTTATTTCTTCTATTCTCACTACTGCTTTTTGGCCATAGTATAAGTAACACAAAAAAGACTGTTTTCAAAAATTTATTAGGTAACTTCTAAATTAATTACATAAATAAAATATAATTCTAACCATAAAAACTATTTATTCACTAATGTGTAATAATAATAGTTTATTGAAAACACTGAAAATAAGAATTTGAATATCAGTGTAATAGAAAATTACAGAAAAATACTGCCAGTGGAGATTTTCCTTAAATATATATCCTTAGACAAATTCATGGTGAAATATTTCGGTCATAACCTAGCAAAACATTAATTAGAGAGGAGCCCGTCAGATTTGAATATAAGAATTGGATGATAACTGGTTTCACTGGATATGATTATGGTTTTCACGTTTGTTGCGAAAAAAAGAAACGAATGATATTGAAGAAAAAAAAATACCACTTGGAGCTAAAGTAGTAATTGACCTTTTGAAATATAGGCCTGAACCACCTAGAAATGAAATTAGATCAGGTCATTGGATGAGGACCTAGGAGTTTTCTGTGTATACAACGTTTTGAGCAGAAACAAGTAATTATAAATAACAAAGTTTGTTCATCTAGCGCATATGTCAAAATAGGCGATTCTACAGTTTGTATGTACAAAATTAGACTTTTAGCAGATAAAATTATAGAAAAATACTGCCAGTGGGGATGTTTCCACAAAGATATTTCCTTAGACAAATCCATGGTCAAATATGTTGGTCATAACCTAGCTAAACAGTCAATTAGAGAGAAACCAGTCAAATGTGAATATAAGAATGGGATGATAACCGGTTTCACTGGATATGATTATGGTTTTTATGTTTGTTGCCGAAAAAAATAAATGGTACTATTAAAAAAGACCACCTGGAGCTAAAATAGTAATTGATATTTTAAACTAGTTGCCTGAACCATCTAGAAATGAAATTAGATCAGGTCATTGGATGAGGACCTAGGAATTTCCTGTGTTTACAACACTTTGAGCAGAGACAAGTATTTATAAATAACAAAGTTTGTTCATCTAGCGGATAATGTCAAAATTGGCGATTCTACAGTTTGTATGTACAAAATTAGACTTTTAGCAGATAAAATTATACAAAAATACTGCCAGTGGGGATGTTTCTATAATAGTACATTGTTTACCGGGTAGGAAAAGCTTAACATTCCTGGACGACTGTGAAGATTGCTAAGTCGAGGCGCAAGCCGAGACTTAGCAACACAGAGTCCAGGAATGTGGCTTTTCCTACGAGGTAAACATACTATTTTTCCGCAAATCGTTTAAAATTCGACAGATATTGATTGATTTAAAAAAAACGCGATAATTTTATTCCCAAATAAATGGTGCTTTGAAATACCTAATAAAATTACTTGGGTTACTATGGAAACGTATTGAGGTTGAATTGTCAAACTTATATCATTTATGTAGAACACTAACAACTGTACGGAAATATCATTTCCTTACAGTAAGGAAATGACATTTCCTTACAGTAAGGAAGTCCTGACTTTTTCTTCAAGAAATTTTGACAGGAATGTCAAAATTTCCTGGCGATTTGCGGAAAGATATTTTCTTAGACAATTCCATGGTGAAATATTTGTATTTTCCAATTGAAAATATTAATGCAATTTTAATATTAGAACTTGTCCTTTTTCATACTATGTAAAACAAAATACAAAATAAAATTATACAAAACAAATACCAAAGAATATAAATATATTGTAAGGCGTCTATATTCTTTGCAAATACTAACCTGAACGACAGCCGTCACTTGCTGTTGGAACACTTCGAAAGAATGGCCAGCACGGACGAAGTTTTACGTCAACTATCAGTAATAGGCTTATTTGATTGGCTAGAGAAAGCGCACATCTAAATATCAACGAATCAAACGTAGGTTAGGAAAGAACCGCTTATGTGTGTAAGCTTATTCTAACGCTGCAATATAGTTCTGTTTAATCACGGAACTACCGCTTTCTCCGTCACATCCAACTTAATGCATTAGAAAGAAATCGAAAAACTGTGACGCACTGAAAAGTACCTCTGGGATAATCTATAATCATTATTGTTCATCAATTTTACTATGCTACTAGCTAGCTTTTGCCTTCACGAAAGAAAATTCTAAAATAGTAACTGATTTGGGAACGCGGTATAAGCGAACGTTTTTTTTTTTTTTCAAGTTGGCGAAGATCACTATTTCAATAATCTTATAAATTCTCAATTTTCAATTATCTTCTTATATAATTCTCTATAAATAGGGTTATAGGGTTGTAATATATAAAAATGCATAAATAAATCCGAAAATTCTATCACTTAAAATTAATACATAATCATAAATAACAGTATTAAAAAAATACTTACTACTAATCGGTTTGTAACTTTGGCAGCAACGAGACCGAACGCCAAAATATATAATGCTGGATGATTTTGGTAAATCTCTTGTGTGGACTTCTTATAAATTATGAATGCAGGTACCAACACCATGGAAAATGGTATCACGGGAGATAGAACACTGGTTCCCTAATGAGTAACTCACATTATTTACTGTATAGATGATATGAGATATAGTGCTTTATTGCTTTTTAATATATACTTAAAAGAAAGAAGAAAATAGTAATGAAGTTTTTAAATATTATATAAAAGATGCAATAACGATTCATCATTTTATAAGCTTTGTCGAATTCAGTTTATAATCTTCTAGGACCACTTAAACTACATAAACACTCCACAAATAAAACGAACATTGAAAATGCAACAAGAAAATATAGAATATTTTGGTCATCATTTTTTGGTCATGAACTGGGATCAGATGATTTGTGATGAGTGTTGTTAATAACAATACTGTTTGAAAGTACGACGTTTGGTGTAAGTTGTATTCTTGATACAGTGATGCGAAAGGCAGTAGTGAACCTTCCAGAAATCGCTAATAGGGTTGGTAGGTATGTGTCTAAGGATGTCGAAATACTTTTTACACAGACACCAACATCAGAACTAGTGATCGCTTCAGCCCCTCTAGTTTGAATGGCAATCAGTGACTGGTTGCTTTAGAACTACAACTCGGTATAAGATCAATTTTCCAGAGAATAAGGATTTTGGTCTTCAATCCAACCGACCACGCCTTATCTGACCGTTAACCGAAAGAAGCGAGACTGTAGGGGTACCAAGAACTGGACGAGTAGGATCAGCAATGAAACCGGATCATATTCAGTAACGGATCTCAGCGTTTACGAGGGAACTTATGGGTTAACATAAGGAAGTAGGTCCCTTCTAGAATTTCTGGAAATAAACATCAATCCCGTGGGTTACATTCATAATGACTTGGAACCCGTTACAGTGACCTATCTACGAAAAGTAGAACCCTATTTTCCAAGATAATGCCAGTTACTCTGTTACTTTAGTCACTATAGCCTATATTTCTATACCATTGTATATTGTATATTTCTGTACCATTGTATTGTACCCCAAATATGCTGTCTTTCTCTTTTTAATGGTGATCAAAAGTTCTCTGTCTGTTCCAAATCGTTCGTAATGATGTTCGCAATGTTTCAATAATAATAAAGATTATTATTGTAATAATTTGTTGATGATATTTTTAAATGCCTCCTAAAAAGCCACACCTCAAAACATTTCAAAGTTTATCATTGATTCAACATCAATAGTCCAAGCCTCGGCGTCATAAAGAAGAATAAAGTGGATATAACATTTTACCATCCGATATCGGACTTACAGATCGGATTCTCACTTAGTTTAGCCTGTAGACCAATGCAGTTGACCGGGGTGTGGCACGGGGTGTGGCAATGTCTATGAGGACCAGTAATTAAGAACCATCTACCGTTTATGGCGCTCGGTGTGGTCGTTCCGCTAATGGAGGAGGAAATTATTTTATTCAAAAAGTGTAACTTTGGAAACAAAAGTAGACCTTTTTAAAGCTCACAAGAAAAAAGAAGAAGATGAAGATCAGTACAAGAAAACGTAGATTGGTATCAGTATGTTATTTTTACGACAAATTTCTTAAAAGCGGAAATCCAGAACAAAAGAGGATCATATAAAGTTTCCAAAAAGCTAACAGGCTATCACGGATAACAGTAATAAGAAGACAACCAGGAAGAACCTAAACGAATATTTCATTTGAAGATGGCAAACTTCATATTGGTGAAAGATTTTATCTACAACAGTGTCAACAGTAATCTTGAATTGAAATGAATCCCTAGATCTCTTATATCTACGTACACCAATAAGGCACCAGCAGGTAAAGATCATAAATAGCTATGATACTAAAAAAAATTGGGAGAGTAATTAGTAGTGGTGAAGAAATGCCATTAATGTATAAAATATGTTTATATGCGTAGATTCAGTGGTCCCCTAATAAACTTCTAGATTTAGTGCTTGTGTTACAAAAGCGTAATAAAATGCGGAAAAAGTGCATTTTTGTCAAGATATGTGAATACTTACACACATATTATCACCTGTCAATGTCTGCAAGGCTCAAATATTAACAGTTTGTGTGGAGTAACAATAAAGCACTATATATAAGTAATTTAATACACGAAAGCTTTTACATAAACAATTGTAAGTATCGTATGCAAAGTACGTAATTAACTTTATGTAATACTTTATTTGAAGACAAGATGCTTTGTCATTTACGCTTAAAAGTTCACTTCAGAACTAGAACTACTTGATAGACGTTCATTTTATCTGAACAGTAAAAGACTGAAATCTTTTGTTTTCAACACTTCCACAAAATTCATGATAATATTTCGGCTGAGTGCCTTTCTCACGAGAAAGAGAAATTTTTGTTATGAGCCTACACTTTATAGTCTTTAACTGAAGTTGAGGAGGGGAGAGCTATTTGTCTCAAGTTGGTCATTCAGAATTATATTTGTATTTTTAATTTGTTAATTTCCATAGATAAAGATAGCTTAAGGCCTTTATTTTGAATGTGATGAATTTGAAATTGGTTAATAATAGAATTATTATTATCTAGGAGGTGAAGTGAGTACGTAAAATGTGTTTTTCTATTATTGAAAGTCCTTTTGTGTTCTGATATACGTTTGTTAAAGGTGCTACCCGTTTGACCGATGTACATACAGAAGGCGAATAAGACGCCAGGAAGCAGGGCGATAGGATATCGGGGTCAAATCTTGAGAGATAATAAAAAAACATCCAGAGTTGGAAATGGTACCAGATGCAATGCAACATAAATATAATTTCGAAAAGCCACTTACCATCCTCTTTACAGGAAGGGATGAATGGGAGTCCAATAAAATGAATCTCATAATGCCAGATCAATGCTGGCATACAAACGGTTCTAAAACCTATGAAGGAGTTAGAGCTGGAGTATTCGGAGGGAAACCAGAGCATTAGTGAAAGCCTAGGTAATCACACCACTATCTTACAAGCAGAAAGTTGGATGAAACGGAAAACATATGAAACCACTGGTACGCATAAATGGGTCTCAATCATTTGAAGGCTTTTTGCACGAACCTTCGGACAGAAAGTCCGAATTGCAGATTATGTCAGGCTGAAGACAAGATGGCCAAACACGTTATGTGCAACTGCACAAGGTTGTATAGGATGAAGCTCAATACATTTAAGCATTATCAATTCGAGCCCTATGACTTAGTATTAGTATCATCAAAGGCCATAATAGTCTTTGTTAAGAAGGCTGAACTAAAAGGACCTATAAATGAGCCACAATCGACCTGTTAGGAAAGATAATTAATCACCTCTTTATATTGAACCTAACCTAACCTAAGTGGGTAAGTTTCTATCATATATGTTTCTAGTTTCGGCCTATCTCTATATGAGGAGTGCCACTAAGAATCAAAACTATTCCTAGAGTGGTCAAAGTACAAATTTTCAAAAAGAGTGGTAAAAACATCCTCCCATATGATACGTATTACACTGTATTACATTCTTTTAAGTTCTTTGATTACGATACTTATCCTTATGTTTGCAAAAACACACTTTATGTATTTATGTTTATAAGTAATTTATAGATACAAACAGGAATATCTACATATAAATTCGAATTTTAACGTAATAACTTTGAAGTATTCGTTGTCTTTGACCTGTTTTAAATATAATACATTATTATATTCAAAATCAATACATAAAGTATGTTATATCATTGCTATTTCCTAAATACATACACAAAACCTAATCAAAAGCATGCAAAATCATCCGAAAAGCAAAAAAGCAAGCTAAAGCTGTAAAACTACTTACATGCAAACTGTAGATAGTTTGACCAGAAGTTAAAAATGGTTAGTAAGGTTCTAGGTAAAAACATTTATTATTGACACATTAGTTATTACATTATATACGTACTGTTAAAACATTTATCCTTTAAAATTATTTTAATCAGCTTTATGATTATTTATAAAGAGTAGTGAGCATATGTTTTCGTTTTATCGTGAATTTAGTAATAATATGTAATGTAAGTGACAATATATGAGTCCAACGACCCTACCATCAAGAAAGTTTGGATTGGACATTCACACCGGGACATTGCTAAAGTTTACCATCGATTATGATCGTCCAAACTATCTTGATGTCAGGGTTAACCGGATCAAGTAACGCCACTCGAAAGGCGTCGTCTGCTAGGGCCCTAGAATTCGTAAAATAACATTTAATACGAAGAATACGTTGATTTCGAAAATTACACCAAACTTGATTCAAACGATTATACAATAAATGTTTATTGACATGTTCCACAACTCCAATAAAAAAAAATTATTTAGAAAAGTTTCTGGAGGTTCGTCTCTCGCGTATTGGTTCTAGGTTGTCGATGACTTACGTCTAATTAAAATAGTAATTGTAAATTAATTGCAACTACGTAAAAGTTAATGAAGGATGAATGAAACGGTGATTTATAGTTGTAGTGCAATGTTGATTGTCTAATTAATGATATATTTTAATTTTTACAGTTATATTGATGTGAATTAAGTTATATAATATATAATAATATAGACAAAAATGTAGATTTAAAGAAGCATCAATAATTAGAACATACTTTTTTCTTACATCAATTGGTCAACAATAGAGTGTAAAATAAAATGAGTGCCATTTATTGTTATTTTTTAGTAATTATAGATACTTCAAATCAAAATAAAACTAAAGTTTGTAACGATATACATCAAGTTCCTTCTCCATCGATGTGGACGTATAAACAGCATACACTCGGAATCATCGGTCAAGTACCTAGGAGTCCATCTCGAGAGAAGACTAAATTTCACAAACCATGTGCAAGAAACCAAGTTATGGCTAAAAAACTAATACTCTCTTATATTTTAAGGACAAGTACCCTAACGAAGGTCAAGAAGATCCAATTATACCAGGTTTACGTTACGTCGGTGATGCAGTATGCAGTTCCAGTATGGAATCCACGGCAGAAACCAACTAGAGGAAGTTGGAGAGGTCAAAGACGTCATGTTGTTTAGCGCCAATCAACGCGCGACGGAGCGTCATGGCAGGATAGAGTTTCAAATGCAACTATCCAGGAAAGGCTTCAGTACACTCAC